GCAATGTGGACTGTATTATAGTAATTTTGAAATTGGATACACTAACCTTTTTCTTCTTAAACTGATGCGTAGACTGGGGGCCCCCTTTGATGAATCCTGAAATGCTATAATGTTGATAAGTTAACTTTTTCTCACTATACGATGTTAAAAGGCACTTAAATTGTCTTTATAATAAGTTATAAGCCAGCAGTAAATATTTATGTTGGTATAGGGGTTTATGATATTTAAAAATGTGGGAGAAAAGGCATGTTAAGTCCTCATAGCAACAGGACTTGCCCAAGAGTCCCTCTACAGAAGGAAGGAGTTGGTCATGTGATACATATCAGTGACCAATCGGAGAGCTAGTCTTGAAACCATTAGGATTTGAAGATACTGATGCGCTCTATGAGGAAAACATTTAACTATTGGAAATGGTATTTAAATGGAGATTGTGGTGAAATCAGTTACATATTATGTACATATTATTAGAGTGCATTAAAATTAAAAATTAATATAAGAATACTTAGAACAAAACAGTATAAATATTTGACAGAATATGTAGGCAATATTATGCAAGCAATTGTCAAAACAAAAGACACATCCCATTATTATTTTACTTCTAACTTGTCGTAACGATGCAGTAGATATGCGTTTGGGTGGAATGTCAGTGGGTTTTATCAATTTCTTGCCTCGTGCATTTTCACAGCATTAGTCCTCCCATATCTAGAGTTAAAATATTTTATGGATATGAATTTCAACACTGTATACTATAAATACTTTTCTCAGTTTTTACATTTCAAAATCATCATTACATGAGTCACGTTGTAAAGAACGTTTGACAGCTCAACTGACGTAACAATAAAGTTCATATCTCTTAGGGAACGAGTTTCCAAGATTTCCGAGAAAAATGTTGTTTGGAGATGATTCTGTCAATTTTTGGTAGGTCCAAAGTGTTTCAATCCCACTTTGTTTGCTGTTTACTAAACAGACGTTTGATATAAACAAAGAACCATAGGATTTTCATTATTAGCATACGAAGTATATTTTGTTAATGAAATATGTATGAACATTTTTTTGATCTTGTGTTCACCCCGAAAGTAGACCACTGCACTCAATACAGTACTACAACTGTAGTGAAATAATATAAGTTTGGTTCAGTTTAAGTAAACCTTTTTCGATTGTTGTGACGTGATTGTGAAATAGGCCGCCTTGCTTTCCATGATATTTGAATTTAATGCAACTATTAAATAGGTAAGCCTTAAATCAGAAAACATTTTTAGGGGGAGCTAAACGCCTAGTTTTTAGCAAAATTCCCATATAGGGAATAAACTATTACTTAGGTCTCATGATAATACCTGGGCCCAGGACTGATTTACTATTTTTGTTTTGAGATTCCCAGAGGCCAAATAGACCACCCGTTCAAATTCATATATTTACGTGAGTCCGTTAGTGCTTTAGCTATTGCAAAAACCATCCGATTTTTATGTAATTTAGTACAAGAGTGTAACAAGCTCACGAATCATCATGATCAGACCATGGGGACGGGTTTTATGGAGAGTAAAAATTAGTTTTTTTTTTATTTTGACCCTCAAATCGTTAATTTTCCAAACTTCTCTCTAGACCATTTTAAAGAGTTTAAAAAACAAATAATTTTGTGTATTGAAGTGTTTTTTGTTACAGTTATTGGTTAAGGAGAACATTCAAAAAAATTAAAATGTAAAATTCCTATGTTATTTTATGGTAAACTGTTGTAGTTTACTTATTTGTGGAGATATTTTGATAAAACTTGCAAATTTATTTGTTTTATACTTAGATTTTTTTACAAAAAAAAAACGTTATTATTCCCCCCTTCTTCTTTCCTTATTATTCTTTATTATTTCTCATTATTATTTCTGTAATCTCAAACCTAGGTGCTCGTTAATCCTAATGTTATATATTTAAAGTGAAAATCCAATCAGGCAAATGGAAATTAGCTTAGTCTGCAGGATTGCTGCGGCGGGGGTATTTATATATTCTCCCATAGTTTTTTTTTTATTTACATACCAGAATTTTAATAAACGTACGAAATTTTTTTTAAACTAAAGACTGAACTACACCCCGGGTCGATGTAGATGTTTCATTTTTTAAACCGGAAGATACATAAAGTGACAATCATTGTCAACGTGGTTGATGATTTGATTTTCCTCAACATATATACATGACAGATCGTCTGAAATCCTCCATTTCAAAGTCTGTATCTGGAGCAGTGACCAGTCCTTGCATATTAGCTTCGTTTAACCTGCCCATGATAACAACCAAGAAGTGAGGACACTGATTCTACCAAGAAAAGACTCCTAAGAGGGATACCAATATACTTGTGGGGAAAAAAATCCGTTTTCTTATGCTGAAAGATCATGGACAACGAAAGTTTTCGTCACTTTCAACGGCTTTCTTCCTCGGTAAGATTGTGAGTGCCGTGCGTTGCTGCGGAGCAGATAAGACTCATTTTATACTTTTTTTACTGATGCTTGTTGGAGTTAGGTGTCAGTTATATTGCAAAAGTCCATAAAAGAAACATGATTTGGTTCTATAGTTCCGGTAATTACACCCATGGCTTAACTAATCAATTGCACAGTTCTTTTGTTCACTAAAATAGTTTCACGGTACTTTTTGCTTTTTATAAGTACTGTATTAGAATTGCATAAATAAATATTCACATCAAAAATACCTTTGGTTACCGATTGGATTGCCTTGTATTGGTTGGATACTAAATGATGTCTTTATTTATTTCCCGAAATAACGATTACAAATAAATGCCAAAGCAAAGGTCCTCCAAACCAGCTACTGTAAAATACGCTCTACAATAAACATTTCATTTTGCAAGGCAAAGGATATTAAAGGCTTTATTATTTGTAGTTATAATTATTCAAACAGTAATATTAAGCAATCTAACTAAGTACTCTGAGGCAGACTTCTGGTCGTTTCGAAGTTTAAGTCTTAAACTAGTTAAAGCTGGTCTGCCAACTCTGGACCTAAACTTGACGGAAGTCGCTTACGGTTCACTGGTTACACAAGACATGTTTGTTGAATAAACGTCAATTTGTTACGTTAACAAAATTACTAATGTTTTCAAAGGTTTTACCATAGATAAAACATACTCCCTTACATACTCCCTTAGTAGATTTCTCATCCTTATGCAACAGCTGAAGACAGTTTTATTGTTAGTTCTGTACGATTTATGTAGAGGTCGTGTTTTGTTTACAATTTGTTTCCCGTTATTACAGCCATTTAAAACCTCGTTTAACCAAATAATACGATCTAATTATAAACAATAACTCGTCCTCTAGTTATATAACCAAACAGTAAAGCACAAATCAAGAAATTAACCCTAAAATAATAGAAACAAAGTTTCGTCGACACAGCGCCCATGTGTCACGTACATGAACTAGACACGAAAAACGTGCTTCAAAATTTACAATGGGATGAGAAGTCTATTTACTTAAAACCATCCTCAAAACAACTGCAAACAACCCCTTTATGATATGTAAATTGGTCTCTTATTAGTGTTACCGTTTAAAACACTATAATTTGCTTGGTGATATTTGAAAGACGTCATAAGAAAAACTTTAACATCCAGATAAAAGACTGGTTTATACAAATTGCACAGCACTCTACGGATTGTTTTGGGGACAAATCTTTGATTATTGAAAGAATTAGTGTCTTGTACTACTTCTTTCGTCTGACGGAGTGAATAATGGATAAAAACAAATGAAATGTTAACATATAGTCATTTTATAAAAAAAATACATTAATCTCTGCAATTGTTAAAATAAAGTTATATTGTAAAGAAGTGATTTTTTTACACGTCATAAGATCTATTGTGGTTAAACACTATCGTTAAGTTCACTGATGCTTTTGCTGTGCAGAAAACGTAGAAAATTGAACTTTGGTTCGCTGGGCTGTTAGTCGTCATTAGTAGATTACAGTTAAGTTGTAACAAAGCAAGAAGTGAAACCATCAATGTTTTCGAGCTCGACCTTAAGGAACACCTCATAAAAAAAATCATTTTTAAAGTTGCGGTAAGAGAGTATGTTAGTTAAGTAATTTTTACAACTGAGTTGTTCGTCAAGCGAAGCGCAAATATAAGGAGAGTAGGGTTCGTTATAGTGAAAATCGACATTAAAGTAATAACGATTTCATGAATATATAAGAGGAGATTGATAAGTTCATAAGTTGATAATAGTAAAGTATTATATGAAGTAAATAGATTGTAGTAGATCGGAGGCCAGGAAACGTCGGAACCCTATTTACAATTATTTAAAAATGTACAAGTTAGTAAAATTTTTTATAAGATAAGTTGATTGATTTAGATTGATAAGTTAATAAGTTGATAATAGTAAAGTATTATAGGAAGTAAATAGACTATAGTAGATATTCATGTATATATTTATGAAAATAGATTAAGTAATGTTTGTTTCGCTGTCGGTCAGCCATATACTTTATGGCATATCCAGTTCCACCACGAGGAGGCCAGGAAACGTCGGAACCATATTTGCAATTATTTAAAAAATATACAAGTTAGTAAACTTTTGTATAAGATAAGTAGATTGATGTAGACTGATAAGTTAACAAGTTGATAATAGTAAAGTATTATATGAAGTAAATAGATTATAGTACATATTTATGTATATATTTATTAAAATAGATGAAGTAGTGTTTGTTTCCCTGTCTAACTACTTAAAGGAAATATATACAAAAACTACTAACTAACTAAACTAAACTAACTACTAAAAAAAGAAAAAAAATATATACAACAACGGGGACTTTTTATAAGGTAGGCCCCCTATTGTATTGTCAAACTAGAATACTAAACACACAAAAAACTACTTATTTAAAAAAAAAATAACTAAAAGGAAATATGTACAACAACGGGGACTTTTGGTAAGGCAGGCCCCCTATGTACAACTGCCGGTGTTGTCAAGTCACGACGGGGAGTTTTGATGAAGCAGATCCCCTAGCCTACTGCTGGTGTCAAGTCCGGTTTAGAGAAGGAGATCGTCATACACGATGTTCTTTGCGTATGCGATTCCATCTCGGACACGTTCGGGATGGACGAGAACGACAATATGGTCGGGATGTCTGACCCTACTGAGCAAGACGTACAGTTGCCCGTGCGTGAAGCAATCGGTCCATAAATCAACACCGACTGAATCTATTGTCTGACCTTGGCTTTTGTGTCCGGTCATGCAATAGGCCAACATCAGTGGGAACTGACGTCGACGAATACGTAACGGCGAACCCTCGACAAACGCGAACGTAAACGTAATTCGGGGAATTCCGATAGGTTGCGTCTGTCCGGGAAGTCTCACTGTAATCAGACGGTTGGAGATGCCGATTACAATGACTTTAGTGCCGTTGACGAGTCCTTCAGCGATGTTGAGATTCCTCATAATGAGGCAAACAGAGCCGATCTTCAGCCGCAGAACATGGTCTGGTACGCCCTTGCCAGTAGCCGTGTTCAGGAGTTGTACGTCGACATCCAGGCCATCGTCGTTCTCTCTGTCCACTGTGTCGGCGCTCCTCAGCTCGTACAGATGACCGTCAAGGGAGTTCAGGATGTGGTCGTTGATCTCCTTGACGTTCACTATCAGAGTCGAGAGGATTGTGCGTCGCGAACACAGATCAGAGTCGAGTAGGACGTTCGCGGGAAAGACGGAATCGACCAAATCAGTCAAAGACGTCACTTGTCTAATCCCGAGCAGCGGAATTAGACTTTGTTCGTTCCGTCCCTCCAAGAAAGTTGTCGAACTAACAGTACCGTTGCCTACCCCGAGAAGGAAATCTGAATAGACCGTGGAACTACTAGTTCGGTGAGCTGTGGTCAGGGCAAAGATTTTGAAGTGCTGCCAGAGATGGGAGGCCCGAAGTGAAACGCAAACAATGTCAGATGGCGTTCGAGCATTCACGACGACGGGTGCGATCTGGCGGAAGTCACCACAGCAGAGGAAGATTTTACCACCGAATAGCTCACTGGAACGCATGAGGTCTCGCAGGGATCTGTCGAGAACCTCGAAAACGAACCGATGTGCCATCGGTGCCTCATCAAAGACAATAAGCCTTGCGGCTCTGATGAGCTCTGCTCGCTGGGAGCCGTTGGTAATGTTCCAAAAGCCGGTGCCGTCACCGAAGTCGAGCGGCAACCGGAACATGCTGTGTGCTGTAGTACCACCAGGCATGTTACCCGCGGCGATCCCAGAGCTGGCGACTGCCAGTGCAACCTGACGACAACCTCTCACGTATGCGAGGATGACACGAATCAGAGTGGTCTTTCCGTAGCCACCCGGACCGTCGAGGAAAATGATTTTCGACGACGTTCCACTGGCTGGGGCGTTGAGAACGGAGGTAACGTACTCAAATACACGGTGTTGGTCTTCAGAGAGCTTTGGCACCCACTCCTCCACAAACGCTCTCTGTTGATTTTCGCCGTGTAAGAGCAGTTCTCTGCCCAACTCCGTCGTGTCATCGTGTACATCGGGGAGGCCGTGATCTGCGACGCAAGAGCCCTGCCGACGGAGACTACGATCAATCTCGAAGAGACCTAGCTTGTAGGGCAGTTCAACATCGAGAGGATTACGCTCTATGTGGTCCTCGCAGATGGAATCACGGAAAGCATCTCACAGGAGAGCTGCAGGAGCCCCCATGTTGCAGAGGATCACAAAGAAAGAACGAAGTCTTGGGCCAGTCATGAAAGTGGCGGCCTCGCGCAGTGCGTAGTGGTACTCCTGTTCGTCTTGCACCAAGCCGAGATGCCGCGCGACCCCTTGAAATGTGCGGCAGTTGGGTCCACCGCGGGACAGGAGGTCGGCATAACCACGGCAAGATACAGTCATAAGCAGGATACGCAGGTAGTACTGTTCTGTCCTGCTCGGAGAGACCCAAAACATTCTGCACACCTTCTCCCCACGCTGTCGGGCAGTGATAATATGGACGCCGTCTGGGTGCTCGTATATCTCCGCAGTTTTTGGGCGCTTGACATGAACCACAAACGTTTCATAGAAACCCTGATAGGTCACGTCGTCAAACGTTGAAATACGATGCCGGTCAAAGTAGATGGTGAGTTTGGAGCTGTTCCTAGCGGCTGCCTCTGCCAGTTGGCCAGGTCTAAACAGGACGGACTGCTTGCCCTCCAGATGGACGGGAAGACATTCAACGGCCGGCTCAGATTCTGATACTGGAAAGTTTAATAAGCGCCAGCACGCGTCACTGGCACCCACCATTCTCTTCGTCACGTAATGCTGTACCTCATCATCTTGCTTACTGAAGGGAGTAACTGTGACGTTCTGGAGAGATCCTCCCTTCATAAGATATTTGAAGAGGTACTTAATCACGCGGCGAGTAGACGCCAGCTCCAAATTGATGTGGGCCTCGTATTTCAATAAAAGTGCGGAGTTATACGGCACAACCCAGCCATCATGAACGCTGATGCTTCTCTTTCTTGAAACAATTGTCCCCTGATTGGTATAATCTCGCTTGTACTGGACGAATCCCCTCTCGTCGACGTGGGTGGTTTCACAGCAGGGCTTGGGGAAGTATTTGGTGCAGTAACCCTTTGCAGAGTCCCAACAGAGGAAGTCAGTCCTATGATCATTACCACATGGACCGTGGATCATGTGTTTGAGGACCAACTTCCTCAGTCGGCCTCCGGCCTCTTCTTCCGAGGGAATATCCGCGCGGATGATGGAGTCAATTTCGGACGCCTGATCTGGTCCGTCGCCGTCAATCTTGAATACAATATGGGCGTGAGGAAGGCCCCTCATTTGCATCTCGATGACGTAGACGATATAGACAGAGCGTCCAAACATTGCTCCGCTGCGCAGGTCTCGGAGAAGTTCCAGAAATTTGATCCTAAAAACTCTACAAGCAGTGCTAGGGTCACTGCGAGTACCTCCACAAGGGCAAGCTTTCTTGTTTTCCTCCCAAGTCGCGTTGTACGTAAACGTCAAAAAGAAAGTGGGGGAACCCAGGCGTGATACGAATGCCATAGCGTCTTCGTATTTTACTTTCATGTACCTGGGTCCCCCGGTGAACGAACTTGGGAGGTAGACTTTTCCTGCCTGCACCCCACCCTCGCCTCTGACGGTTTCATCACGAGCGATGTCGTTCAAGACCTGCTGTGCATTCCGAATCTCGTCAACCGGCCCCACCCGAAAGGCACTATCGGTGTTCTTCAGCTGCGTAAACTTAATATAACGCAGTTTCTCCTCCTCGTACCTCGCGAACATCTCAACCTGCCAAGCTTGTGAGAGACGGCCTAGGTGAGAGAAGCGAGGTTCAGAAAGTAGGAGGCACCGCGAGTACTTAAATTGAGTCAGTTTGGCACCCTTGTTATCAAGGCGACCAACGTGCCATCCCACAGTGCCTTGCGGGTAGAGTAGGGGATATTGGAAAGGTTCCATCAGTGGGTGTAAAAGATCAATAAATGTAGGTCTGTCATAACCGGATTTCCATATTTGTCAGTCTCCGGGGCTCAGTGTCGTTTTCATCATTGCTGAGCACGGCGTGCACTTCAACGCCTGTCTGCCGATCACCGAGAACAGGGCCATGAGTAGACCTGCTTGTTATTTCAAATGCCAAGTGAGCTGTAACGGAAGGCTCGTTACTCAATCGACGGTAATGCTCAATGTAAGGATTTTCCCTAGACAAAAAAACCAGCAATACCGTCGATGATTTCGGCATCAAGCGATCTACCCATCGCAGTGTTACGGCGCTCTTCGCCATTGTCAATATACAGGCGGGACCGATTCACAAACTGAACGTTCCCGGAACGAGTTGTGAACTTTTGTCCTGGGGCGTCCAGATTGTAGACCTGGTGGTACATTCTTCCCTCGATCTTGAAAAAAGAAAGACCACTGGGATGACGATACCCGCCTGACACTTCGAGCGCGCAGAAAGCAAACAGATCGTTAAACGCACGGGCTCTTTCCAGGAAGTGGCGATCAGAATAAAAGGGCTCTTGCAAAGGAGGAAGTTCGAGAACATTGAAGGCTCTCTCCCCGCAGCAACATTGCTTTCTATTCTTCTCTTCCTCGAAGAGCCGTAATTGACAATGACGACATCTTTAAATGTCGTCAACCCAGAGACTGGCCTTTTCAAGTTTGTAAGGATCAATGTTGTTAAGTAAAGTCCCACTCCAAGCAGACATCGGACCGTCGCTCACAATGAGCCGAGCAATTGGTCGAGGCAAATACCTGAGTTGAGAGAGAACCGGATGTTTCAGTCGAAAAATCTGACTTCTCTCAGTTGAGGCTCCAGGGTGACGACGGTCGTACTCACGAACTGACCTCTCCCTGTGAATTTCAGGGTGCGTTTGATAATATGTGCGCACATCAGTGCGATTCTTCTCTGGATGAGTCTCCCTGTAGCGTTTTTTAGCGTCATTCAATTGCTCATCTCGAGTGGTTGGTAGGACTTTAGGGCGGCCACGTTTTAATTTATTAGGTCTCCCTGGTCCTCTTTTAGTCTGCGAACAGGGGGGCTGGGAGTTGAATGAACTGTCGGCTATTTCTGCTACAAGATCATTGGCAGGTATAGAAAACCTAACAAGTTCAATACTGTACTCTCATACCCACGTGAGACGAATTGGACAGTAAAAGGGAGGCTAGCGATGAAACACTATCACACGCGAAGAGCCTGGCCCTATTTTTTGTCGCATCACTATCTCGATGACGGTTTTCGTTTACGGCATGAGAGTCAAACATGTAGAACTTCTCTTGGCGACGCAAAAATGAAACTGTCACCAATTGCCCTGTAAACAGAAATCCACCGTCGAGAGAATCGCCGGACAGAATTCGTCGCAACACAGACGATAAGGAACTAACAGCCTCATCGTTGCCAGCTTCGCATCTCGAGTACAACCCGCTACTGACATACGATATTTCCTCGATAGTAATACGTTTGTCTGAAATATCGAAATTTCTGGCTAGGTCCTAAGGAAACAAGTACCTATTGACAATGGAAAACTCATAACGGGATCTCGCATACAAACGATCTCCAGTTATGAGTATCTCATTGATGGCATCAGTACTGAAACCATTACAGAAGACCTGCCAAGCCAGCGCACAGGCTGCATTCGCAACGCACTAGGCTAGGATTATACTAGGACGCTGGCGTCCGAGAGGCTAGCGTCCCACCTCGAGCCGAAAAATGACGCGATTTGTGTTGGGATGCTAGCCTCTCGGACTGCCATTTTATTTCAATGTTTAGTCACTTTTTGTTTAGATCTATTTTAACAACATTATGCTTAACGAGTACCAAGGTTTGATGTTTTAAGGGGGCTAATAAAGTGTGTTTTTAGTAAAATACTGTATTATTAGCTTAGTATAAAACAAATTGGCCAAGTATCTATTATATTATTAAAGTGATACAATCAAATTTTATGCAAACGGTTAAGGCCATTTACCAGATAAAAATATAGGCATATGGCACATCAAAATGAAGCTTAGAGTGGTAGATTTGCCGAAAAATATTTATATGGACGAATATCCTAAGGGCTCTGCCCCACAGGCTGATTTCCAAAGGGCTACACCTGGCATGCTTCCAATCAAAGTTTAAATGATTTAATTTAATTTAGTTAATGAAACAGCTGGTCAGTATAATGAACTGGTGTTTGTTTATTTTCTCGAAAAATATGTTTGTGGTGACGCTTTATGTAGATTGAGGAGGGTTATGTTTGGTTTTAATGAAAGGTTGTATACGTTTTGTAAAGTATTGCTCAAAGTTTCATTTTGTAATTTTGTAATTTATATAGTAAGCTACATGTAAGGAGGCTTGACCAAAAATTTAAGAATTGAGGTAAAACATGTCATTCACGAAGCATTAAAAGTAGGGGTGTGAAAGTAAGTAGGTTTACACTTTTAAATCAGTTTATATTTTCAAACTAAATCATAGAGTTGCTGTTTTTTAACACACATCAGCACCACTTTAATAGCTCTCTATGTCACATTTTTTTCCCGTTGCAAAGCACGGGTATAATAGCTTGTAATCAAAATATATCCATACACAAGCAAATTCCAACACTTAACAACATTTTCTATAAGAATAGCATGGCAATTTTTAATATTCTTTTTTTTAATTTTCTCCATAACTAATAACAGTACAAAAACACTTAAATATACTAAATTATTTGTTTTTAAGCTCATTAAAATTGTCTAGAGAGAAATTGGGAATATTTCAGTTTTATGGGTCAAAAATGACAAACCCCCTTTTTTAGCACATAAAACCCCGTTCCCAAGGTATGTTCATGCTGGTTCGCGAACTCATTCAAGTTTATCCCTAAAAGTTTATCCCCTTCACCTTAAAACCAAATTTCTTCAAAATAGGACAAGTTACTCCAGTTATCGCGTTTGACATATATATATATATAATATTTAAATCCATACGAACTGATGGTGTTTTTGGCCTCTGGGGACATCAAAATGAAAATGTAAATCGGTCCCAGGCCTCGGTCTTACCATGCCACCTACGGTAATAGCTTCGAGCGTCCGGTGGCTTTTTTTTTAGCATCCGACGCCTAGCATCCATAGTATAATCGCCCCCCATTTGATTTAATGCCCCGCTAGCGTCCCGGACGCTGGCCTCTCGGACGCCAGCGTCCTAGTATAATCCTAGCTTTTTAGTGCTCTCGCTGAATCTACGATCACCCTGATGGAATGACCCTTCAGCGATACATGAAATACCCCCGCCGCAGCAAACCTGCCGTCTAAGCGAATTTCCATTTGTCCGAATTGATTTTCAATTGATCTATTTAAATAACATTATTAGGTTTAACGAGTACCTAGGTTTGCTGCTAAAAGGAAACTAATAAAGTAGTGTGTTTTTAGTAAAATATTGATAGCTTACTATAAAATAAATAAATTTGCCAACTTTGATCAAAATATATCCATAAACAAGCAAACTTCAACATTTTACAATATTCTCCATAAGAATAACATGGGAATTTTAAATTTACCATTTTTTTAGTTTTCTCCGTAACCAATAACCGTACAAAAACACTTTGATATACTGAATTGTTTGTTTTTTTAAGCTCTTTAAGAAGGTTTAGAGAAAAATTGGGAAATTTTGTGTTTTGAGGGTAAAAAGTGAGAAAAACCCATATTTACCCCATAAAACCCCCTATAAAACCCTGTTCCCATGGTCCGATCATGCTGGATCGCGAACTCATTCAAGTTTATCCCGCCTTACACCTTCAAACCAAATTTCATCAAAATCGGATAAAAATTACTCAAGTTATCGTGTTCACGGACACATATATATATATATATAAATCTATATATATATATATCTATATATATATATATATACATATATAAAAATTTGAACGAATGGTGTTTTTGGCCTCTGGGGACATTAAAATGAAAAAGTAAATCGGTCCTCGGTCCCGGGCCTAAGTCTTACCATGAGACCTACGGTAATAGCTACTTCCCTATAGGGAAATTCGCTAAAAAAAGCCATGTCAAATCAAATCTCGAATGTATATAGTTGAGAAAACTTGACACAGTCGATAAAGAATGGAATATTCAAGAAATTTTAACTAAAAATGTTATCATGTATAGTCAAATCAAGTAACCAAAATAAGAGCGAGAACCAAATCGGGTTATTCTTCATTTAAGAATAACATGGGGCTGGTAAAAGCGGTTAAGATCTATTGTGGTTAAACACTATCGTTAAGTTCACTAATGCTTTTGCTGTGCAGAAAACGTAGAAAATTGAATAATGTCAATCCCAATCAAGTATTGAATTTATTTGTTGAAAATGATTACAACTATTATACTTTAACTAAAATGATTGTACATTGGCCTACGGAAATTATTCGGTAAGCAAAACACGATGTGCACGTACCTGAAGTATAACGGAGACTGCGTCATCGTCCTCATCGTCTCGTCTCCAGGGTTTGACCTTTGTACCATTGGACCTTTGACTTCTGTCCTATTGATTTTAATATTGTTGCTATGTTTACTTTACAAAAAAAAGTAAAAAAGTTATTCCTTCGACTTATAAAAATAAAACTTATTCTTCTAAAAAAAATAAACACTTGTTAGGTTACTTCACCTTTTAAAACATTTCCCTTCCAATATAAAATAAAACACAAATCACTCATCATCCTGGAAGGGAACTTCATTTTTTGTAGATTTAATTTATCGGACGCTCTTCGAGTCCTTAGGGACCGCCTGATAGCATCTGATTTCTGGTTACGTTATTTCAGGCAAAAACAACTCTTCGTGTTCCTCTTCTTTTGTTAGATTCTTCCTTAGGTGATCAGCGTGAACAAATCTTGTGCGGTTTCCTTCCTTAATCAAATAGGTTACGAGACTTATACATTTGATCACTTTCCCGGTAACCAGTTCACTTTTTCCTTCCTCACCGAGCGAACAATGATGTTTTCACCTACTTCAAATGT